GAGAGAGAGAGAGAGACTTACTCTGAATCTCTGGCTCGTTCTTCTTGGACATAAATGTCCTGCAGCAGTCTTTGATACATTCTGTCATGTTGATGATCTTTACAAAAATCACAAACCAATCACATAAAAATGAATGAATGAACATGAAACTGTACTACAGTGGACAGAATTCTATCTTTTCTAGTCACAAACATTCCCAACACAATGTCAATATCATCACGTCAGCTTATGTTTCGTGTGTAATTTTGTGGTGAAAATAAATACATTTTTGAGAGAGAAAAAAATGGCAACATTGGTTGCTGTAGTGGAAATGAGGCCACAAATAAGGCACTTTCAAAATGACTGAAAATGTCATTTATAATGAATTTTCGTGGTAAGATTGAAAGTTGTGTCTGGGATAACGGTAAAACAGTACAATCTACACAGCAAAGAAATCAGAAAATTAGCAAAAATAAATGGTAAAGGCATTTAACAACAGCAAAAAAAAGCTGAGGCATAAAAGTGCCCGCAGTAGCCCAAAGTTGCAGAAATACATATAGGCTAAATAGGATATATAATACGGTTATAATTATTTCAACAATTATGAATAACCGCTTTTTTCCCCCTTCTTTTTGACAAAGAACATCATGTTTGTGAATAAGGTTGTACGTACCTGTGCGGCTGTCCGCGAGGAGCTGAAATCTCTGAGCTCGCGAGTGCGGCAGGTGCGTCTGAAGCCTCCAGTGAGCACCAAAACTTCTGCCTACGGTTGGGTCCTAGTGTCCGCCGGTCCTTAATAACGCTGCTGAGGACAAATACACCACTCTTTTGATCACTGTGACACGAACGAAAGTTTACACTCCTACTCAGTCAGTCACACGCATAATATGTATATTAATTCCTCAAATATTTACACATTCAAAACCCTGTTGTTATTGACCCCTTGATAACTAATATGTAGGCCTACATCAAAATTCAGGTCCTTGGCTTATTATCCTCATTTTATCAAATGCCAAAACTTTCTAGGAACGAATCTAAATTTGCTAATAGTAAACACAAACCAACAAAAGTTCAGGTCATCAAATTTGTGTTTATTGATTGACCAGGCTCTCTTTACCTGTCAAATAAAAACAGATACACAGAGGAAATTCTGAGCCAAAACAAAGACTTTTTTTTTTTAGACTTCCCTGGGAAATGGGTGCTGGAGGTGCGCTGCAGACTCCTGTCAAGAGTTAATTAGAACATTTTCAAAAGCGTGATTTTGTAGCATGTGCAAGCCTGGCAGCGCTCTCACTGCTTGGGGTCATAAAAGGTCAAGAACAAATGAAAGCGGCGTTCAAATACTCCCATTCACAGTGAGAACATGTGACACAGGTGCCACTAAAAGTAGAAAAACAAATCCAGCTTTACAACAAGAAAAAAAACAAGACACTTAAGGATCTGCAATTGTGGCAAGAAAAAGCACAATGGGAAGTGTAGAACAAACAAGAAAAAACACAACATAAATATTCTTCTGTGTACTGGTACATGTGTGTGGCTGCAGATGACAATGACAGCCAGGCAGCCTAATGAAAAACCTGCATTATGAAATATCAAACATCAGCACAAGCTCAGCCCACTACAGAGCAGACAGAGACGGTGAAGACCACATGAGAGTCCAGATCCACAGAACAAACAAAATGAGGAAATGCAGCTGCCTGACGGGTAGTGCAGTAACAGGAAGTCCAAGATAGAGGTATGGGGCCATGAAGAGGTGAGAGGTCAGAGGTTCATTTATAAAGCCTCAGAATGGATGTTCAGAGACAAATACTGTGAGGCGGATTATTGAACTGCCACGGAAGTTGATGACGTTGTTAACCGTAACCATCTCTAGATCTAGAACGATAGTCTTCGGTCCTTTAATGGGCCGGGCCAGAACCAAAGTTGCACTGATATTACTGGTTTGCTGTGGAAAAAAAGGGAAAGAATGTTTTCATATTTTTTAAATTCATTCCGAGTCTGTCACTCTTTCTCTTCAGAGTTGAAACACTGCTTGCCCACATGGACAAATTATATGAAAACAAACCCTTTCAACAATTTCAACTGATATTTGATTAGCTAAGGGACTCCTAGGACCCATAAAGATTTTGTGGTTTGGCTCCAGAGTAATTTTACCAGGCTCACAGAAATCCTACAGCTCCCTCTAGTGATCACCTTTATATATAAACTAACATTAAAAAGTATGCAGTCTGTAAGATGTTTTAATCGTTTTTGAAAGACTTCTCTTATACTCACCATAGCTGCATTTATTTGATCAAAAATACAGTAATATTGTAAAATATTATTAAAATTTTAAATAAGTAAATCATTTTAAAATGTAATTTATTCTTGTGATGGCAAAGCTGAATTTTTACTTCAGTCTTCAGTGTCACATGATCCTTCAGAAATCATTCTAATATGCTGATTTGCTGCTCAAGAAACATTTCTTATTATTCTTATTATCTTATTATTATTAATTTGGTGCTCAATAAACATTTCTTACTATTTTAATTTAAAACAGTTGTTTAATTAATTTTTATTGAAAGTGTGATCCATATTTTTTTCAGGATTCTTCAAAAGAACAGCATTTATTTAAAATAGAAATATTTTGTAATATTATAATTGACTTTATTATCACTTTTGATCAAATGAACGCATCCTGAATAAAAGTATTAATTTATTTTTTAAAAATGGTTGACCACAAACTTTTGAACAGTAATGAAGGTGTTTTATAACAGGCATCAGTTATACAAACAGAAGCCCATTTACCCGCATGTAAAACTCTCGCCCCTCGTTGCCAGACTTGATCTGAAAGATGTAAAATGCTCCAGGGTAACGTGTGGTGGCCTGCATTTGAAATATATCAGCAGGAACACTGCGGCCAGAAGACAAATCCATATGTCTGTACAGAATAGTGAAGGGTTGTTCCCGACAAGCGGGATTCTCCGCAGAGCACATGCACTGACTGAGAGAGAAAGAGAGAAGTATATTCAGAACATGCTGCAACTGTTCAATAAAAAGTCAAATGACTGACTAAAGCAAACAGGTTTTCTTTTGTCAACATTCATGAACTCACTTGTCACTGAGCTCTATGTAAGGTGGATTACATCTAAGAGGGTCTAGACATGTGTAACCTCCCTGGAAATTGAAACACACTTGTGCTGTTGTACAGGTGTTGTTACCAGACTCACATTCATTGAGGTCTTGAAAATCAAACACACAACAGACAGAAGTCAGGTTATCAATATCATCAAGATCATTAACAGCAGCAACAATAACTACAACGTCAAGGAAGCTAAATGGTGCAGCAGATATGAAATAGCTACTCTCAGCAAATTACCTGAGAAAATGGCCATAAATATTTCTTACTCGCTATGAAACTTCCTTCTTGATTTTATTTTTTTAAAAGTCTCTCTCTCTATACACACATATATACATATTATGCATACTGAAGGAAAATGAAGCAAGTCATTGCTATTAGCATCATATACAACACAAAACGGTTTATCTCTCTGAAAAACTGCACTTGACACAAAAATGTGAAGACATATTTTAGTTTTAATGGTTTAATTTGAGAAATATTCCACATTTGAGTCACAACAAGGAGAAATGCAACTACGAACACTTAGAAAAACATTTATAACACAATATAAATGATGGAACAAAATCACATTGAAAGAAGCACACAAAATAAAAATGTAGAGATACCTTCACAGCTCCTTCCATCCTCATACACGTAATATCCAGGCGGACAAATGCAGGAGAATGATCCTGGCGTGTTCACACACGTGTGCTGACAAAGGAAGTCTGAGAAACTGCACTCGTCCAGATCTAAGGATGGGTAGTGATAAAGACAGACACATCACACACTATCAATGCACACAGTCCCACATACAAAATCAAGCAACACACATCTTAAACCTTTCTCTAAAAGCTCTAAATTGTTCTTGGTCCCCTGTCTCTCTCTATTCTTATCGTCTCTTCTCCTCCTCTTATTACCATTGCAGGTGGTCCCATCAGAGGCGAGCTCGAAGCCCTCATCACAGGTGCACATGAATGAGCCGTATGTGTTCAAACAGCCGTGAGAGCATGGGTTTGTCTCACACTCGTCCACATCTGGCGAGGCAGGAAGAGGAAGAAGATGGCAGATGTCAAGATTTTCAGTAAACTCTCAAATGAAACAATAATGATGTTCTTGTGTATGTGTGCACCTTGGCATGTCCTGCTATCAGCATTAAGAAGGAATCCAGGGCTACAGGAGCAGGAATATGAGCCAGGGACATTAGCGCACAGCTGCTGGCAGTAACCATAGCGACACTCATCAACGTCTAAAGAAAGGTGAGTTAGAGAGCACTAAATACGCAAACAGTAGTCACAACTGAATTAAGACATTGTTTGGTGTCAAATAAGACTGGATTATTTCATTATTTAAACATCAAACAAACAAAGTAACAATTTGAATGGTCATATAATTTAACCTTTTTTTTTTTTACACTACTGTTCAAAAGTTTGGGGTCGGTAAGAATTTTTATGTTTTTACAAGTCTCTTACGCTCACCAAGGCTGCATTTATTTGATCAAAAATACAGTAAAAGCAGTAATATTGTGAAATATGACTAAAATTGAAAATAAATTGTTCTATTTTTGTGTACATTAAAATGTAAGTTATTCCTGTGTTAGCAAAGCTGAATTTTCAGCAGCCATAATTCCAGGCTTCAGTGTCACATGATCCATCAGAAATCATCCTAATATGCTGATTTAGTGCTCATGAAACATTTCTTATAATTATTCATGTTTAAAATAGTTGTGCTGTTTAATATTTTTTGTAGAAATCATGATGCACTTTTTAGGATTCTGTGAGGGGAAAAATAGATCAAAAGAACAACACTGATTTGAAATAGAAATCTTTTGTAACTTTACTCTCACTTTTGATTAGTTTTATACATCCTTGCTGAATGATATAATATTAGTTATTTTAACAAAATCTTACTTACCTCAATGTTTTGAACGGCAGTGTACTTTAACATAACGAAAACTGCTTTATTAAAGGATTTACCGTGTTCATGTTGTGTCACATGTAGACATCACAAATTAAAGCATATAACATCAAACTGTCCATTCATAATGTCTGTAAATCTTACCTTGGCACTGTCCACCCACCAGCCAGTAGCCCTCAGTACATGAGCAGGTATATCCACCGGCTGTATTTATACACACCTGAGTCGGGTTACACTGGTGTGACTCTGCCTCACATTCGTCAACATCTAAAAAAATGAAAGATAGCCACAGTCAGCTCCCACTTGTACTTTTCCCACCACTATCCACTTTAGAAACTCACCTAAAACAATTCGCCTTGATGTATGTAACTTCACAACACTTAAATGTTTCATTATCATCAGAATACTGATACAGAATACGTCATCTGTCCCACTGATAGCTTGCCCTCTGTGGACAGATGTTCTTTGCTTTAAGCTTAGCAGGTCTGTGACACCTCGAACTCCATCCCGGCCTCATAAATCTTACCTTAATTTCTTATAATTATTCATGTTTAAAATAGTTGTGCTGTTTAATATTTTTTGTAGAAATCATGATGCACTTTTTAGGATTCTGTGAGGGGAAAAATAGATCAAAAGAACAACACTGATTTGAAATAGAAATCTTTTGTAACTTTACTCTCACTTTTGATTAGTTTTATACATCCTTGCTGAATGATATAATATTAGTTATTTTAACAAAATCTTACTTACCTCAATGTTTTGAACGGCAGTGTACTTTAACATAACGAAAACTGCTTTATTAAAGGATTTACCGTGTTCATGTTGTGTCACATGTAGACATCACAAATTAAAGCATATAACATCAAACTGTCCATTCATAATGTCTGTAAATCTTACCTTGGCACTGTCCACCCACCAGCCAGTAGCCCTCAGTACATGAGCAGGTATATCCACCGGCTGTATTTATACACACCTGAGTCGGGTTACACTGGTGTGACTCTGCCTCACATTCGTCAACATCTAAAAAAATGAAAGATAGCCACAGTCAGCTCCCACTTGTACTTTTCCCACCACTATCCACTTTAGAAACTCACCTAAAACAATTCGCCTTGATGTATGTAACTTCACAACACTTAAATGTTTCATTATCATCAGAATACTGATACAGAATACGTCATCTGTCCCACTGATAGCTTGCCCTCTGTGGACAGATGTTCTTTACTTTAAGCTTAGCAGGTCTGTTACACCTCGAACTCCATCCCGACCTCATAAATCTTACCTTACTATCACATCTTACACAAATAGCTAGTCTTACACAATGCATTTCCAAAACTGGAGTTCATATCTCTCTGTTCCACTCTCGCTCACACATTATCAGCACAATTCCTTATGAGGGCATCATATGCTTTAAAAATACCCGAAAAATCACCCTTGGTTCTCAGACCATGAAGTCACATGTTTTAAAAGTAAGCAAATGTTACTATGAAAGTGATGAGGGCGTGATGGATTTGGGGGGCTGGACCGTGTGAAAGCCAGATAATTAGTTTATTTTGGTTAAAGCTGCCAACAGTCCCACTGTTACTATATGGGTAGAGTGATGCAATGGGTCCTGGCAAACCAAGCTGAAATTCCATAATAGTAAGTTACTTGTGCACTTTAAAATGACCCATTCACTTGCATTTGGCATTTCAATGAAAGCATCTGACTGTACAGTATAATCGCAAAGGTAGTCACTTGCTTTGCATTACACCTACCTGGAACTGAACTTTTGTGTTAGCAGCTCAGATTCTTAACTATTATAGACATCACAAAGCATTATTATGAGGTGGAATCATTACAGCCAGGTCTGGTAGCAGAGATGCGGCCACATGAGGCCCAGCTAGGCCCCGGAGCGTGAAGGAGAGCATCTGGATTACATGTGCACTATCACAGACGTCTGATCTGAGGTGAACGGATCTGGAGCATTCTAGGAATGCCAGCATTTTGGAGATCAGATCTGATGCAGAGACTGTGCAGTAAATTTTGCACAAGATTTAAATGAGGGTCAGAGGAAAGACATGGTGTGTAAATGAAAGAGAGGGAAACGTGTCTGCATGTAAAAGAGGAAGAGAGATCAATGATATGAAATGTTGACGGGTGATATCATTCATGTGGTCAGAATCATGACTTTTACTAGACTTTTAACAAGTTTACTACGGTACAATTCGTTAAATTTAACAAGAGGCCCACAAACCAGATGTTGCTGAGGTCATTAAATCTAATCTTCACATCAGAGATATTCAATCCCTTAAAAGTATGCCCAGACGAAATCTAAAGACTTTCCTCATATTTGGAAAATCTACAATTCTGTGAAATGGATTTGCACATGGTAAATGTGTTAAACTGCGCTCATAACGTTTTAATTGCTAGCTGAAAGCAAAATCAACAAACAAATACGCAAGAGGACGGGGAATTTATATGAATGACGGGTATTATAATTCATACTCACACAACATGCTTGTCTTATTAAAGCAAAACAATTCATCAATCTAAAGAGACATATGCAAGACTAAACTTTTCAGGCATGGAAAACGTGTAGATGATTAATATGAACAAACAGGTTGAGGTCAATCCAGGACCCAAGAATCTGGCACCAACTCAAAACTCTTGCTTCTAGACGCACATCTTCATTCCAGAGATTTAATGTCCGAGATCTGTTGCCAAACACTGACTGTTAAAATTATATCAAAGGCATTTACAGTCCACCACTGCAATAGTTCAAGCAGGCCGGACAAGCAACACTTCACACAGCCCATGTGAATTAGCTGGAATCATTAAACTAACGTGAGGTGTACAGTGAGCCAGAGTAGCAATTATGTTTAGTGTGGAATGTCTAGTGCAGCCACAAGGAGAGTCTAATTTGAACGTGAAATACAGTAAAACAATAGAGAAAAGTACAATAAGCAATCACATTTTCCTTATCTGAAAAATCTGAAATATCTCCAGCAACTCTTAGGAGCTGCTCAACTCTTTCAGCTTGATCTACACCATCCTACACTGACTTTGCACAGAAAACACAAAACGCATGGTTGATACACCAAAAAAAAAAAACTCTTTATTTGCTACTATTCAAAAGTCATGTAGATTTAAAAAAAAATTTTTGCAAGAAATTAATACATCTTTTTAATGAGGATTTCTTGAATTTATCAAAAGTTACAACAAAGACATTTAAAATTACTTCATTTAAAGATTTCTATTTAAAATGAATGCATTCATTATACAAGCCTGGGGAAAAAAACGATATCAGGTTTTCCATAAAAATATTAAGCAGCACAACTTTTTTTCAGAGTAATACCTGATAAGAATTCAGCTTTGCCACCACAAGAATAAATTACAACTTTAAATCTACAAAAATACAGAAAATTGATTTCATAATATTACTGTTTTTACTGTATGTTTATCATATAAATGCACGAGAGACTTCTTTCAAAAACATTAAAAAAAACTTACCAACCCCAAACTTATGAATGCTAGTGTATATTTAAAACAAAAAAATAGTATTACATATAAATTTCAATGACTCAGAAATAATACTGACATCATACCTCAATTTCCAGACGTCCCACTAAGCTAGAGCACATTAATTAGTCTGCGGTACTAGAGCCACTCCACATTTGCTGACAGACACCAGTTACAGTCCTACAGCCTGCGTAGGCAAGTTTCAACTTGACAAATCAAATCATTTTGGACATTTTTCAAGTTCCCACCCAGAATAAGATAATTTAAGCTCTTGAATTTGGGATTTTATGCAAAGCATCCACATTCCTGAATCACAAGTGAGCTTTAGATCTTCTTTTCTCAAGTTTCTCCTGAACTGAACTGTCTTTCAGAGGTTTGCATGGATTTTAGAAGTGCCTATAAGCTTTACTGAGGCTAAACACAGGATTGATGGGATTTATGATAGCACATTTCAGGCACTGACTGGGTTGACTGTTTTAGTCCTTCAAGCCTTAGCGCCACTGGCAAGAAGAAGGCATTCATTAAGATGAATGATGTTATGGTGTAACACTACGTACTTCCTGTACGATTTCTGTTCCATAACAGCATCCCTTAACATAAATAACAAACACACTGTACAAAGAACACAAATTGAGCAGCTGCTCAATGGCAGATCGCATTCAACAACCACTGACTTCATGTTTGGCACAAGCAACCACAGATGCTGAGATCACAATGGTTTGTCTTTATGAAATGCTGTTGTACTGAATGTCTCAGTGGCTCTATAAGACCATTATCTGTGTCCAAAATTTAACACAGCACACAACATTCATCTTCATTACTCAGTCCAAGTTTTTCCCAGGTCAGGACATGTGTATATCCGCATAAGCACATTCATGAGCTTATCTGTGCGTGTATCTTCTTTATAACATGACTGTCTTGGGCTTAAAAGGTAACAAATCTATAATTTTGTGATTCTGCAGAGGAGCAAGCGAGGACTGGAGAATGCATTAACTGCAAAGGCTGGCACCAATTCGAGACAAATCCGCAGACCATATTGAAAAATACAGCAAACAGTCATTTGTGCTACCATTTATCATATGGCACGTGAAATAGGTCACCACGCTGACACGCGTAAAGATTTCGACAGCACAATATATAACACCTATCTAGATGAAAGCAATAAATCCCAGGAGATATCACAGACACCACATTCAGCTCAACAGCTTCAACAGAAGCAGACCACATAGAGTCAGTTACAAACTGATGATTTACGACGGTGAGTAAGACACTCTAAAACAGTCTCGTTGAATTGTAAAGTTGGATCCCAGTAAGCAGGGCTAAATGCCAGTTCCTGTGTGTCTTCCTGCCTCTTCACAAGATGTAGTTTGTTCTGAGGTTCCACAGTATTTTGTGGTTCCACACTAATGACTGATCCAGTCCAAATTACGAGATTCATTCTGCTGAAGTCTTTAAGATGCCACTCAGCCCACCGCAGCCATTACTAAATTACAGTCCAGCACAGAACTGGGTCTTTGCCTCATTTCAGAGTGAGAAGACCCATGGACCATTGCAGAAAATGAAGTAAACATGAGCCCACAAGTCTTATTCTTAGCTTGAGTTATTTACTATAAAAAAATGGCTTTATATACGCCAGAATGTATGAAGTTCTTGGATCTGGTACTCTATCATGTATCATATATTCTTTTAAAGCACTATGACAGGGCATTATAATGTTTAAAACTTATTTATCTGTTATTTTATTTAGTTAATAATCCAATAGTGACTCGTGTCTATTCAAATTGTCACTAGTAAGGTGTTCTTGTTCATCAGATAGTAGAACGTATTCAGTGACTAGTTTTTGTTCTGTTAGTCATAAATTTAACTTGATCTCAATTTCATTCTGACATATAAGCACACTTGTATGCAAAAGTTGCTGAATAAACATCTACAACTAAAGTTAATCTAATAAGCACATTTGGCATTAGTTGACATTGTTACAGTGGCTGTAGTAATATATGGTAAAATATTATTAACATACAGTGGGTACGGAAAGTATTCAGACCCCCTTAAATTTTTCACTCTTTGTTATATTGCAGCCATTTGCTAAAATCATTTAAGTTAATTTTTTTTCCTCATTAATGTACACACAGCACCCCATATTGACAGAAAAACACAGAATTGTTGACATTTTTGCAGATTTATTAAAAAAGAAAAACTGAAATATCACATGATCCTAAGTATTCAGACCCTTTGCTGTGACACTCATATATTTAACTCAGGGGCTCTCCATTTCTTCTGATCATCCTTGAGACGGTTCTACACCTTCATTTGAGTCCAGCTGTGGTTGATTATACTGATTGGACTTGATTAGCAAAGCCATACAATACCAGCCAATTTACAAAGTCAGCAACACATGACTAACTGAATGAAGTTATGTTTCTCAAGATTTAAAATTTTTTTAAATGCAAATTAAATGAAGTCATAAATTACATTTTTGAAGATATATTGTGCATGCATATATATTTATTTACAAAAATAGAAAAAAAAATTTAAATGGTTGACCTGGTCTGGATGATAAACTAAAAGCAGTCAAGATCATTATTTGGTGGGCCAGGCACACTAAGACTGCCTGACAAGCCAGGAATGTGTATCAAATCTTCTGGATTTGAACTAGCAACCTTTCAAGTGCCAACTTTAAAGGTATAGTTCACCCAAAAATGAAAATTTGATGTTTATCTGCTTACCCCCAGGGCATCCAAGGTGTAGGTGACTTTGTTTCTTCAGTAGAACACAAACGAAGATTTTTTAACTCAAACCGTTGCAATCTATCAGTCTTATAATGGAAGTGAATGGGAATCACGGCTTTGAGAGTAAAAAAAAAAAACATACACAAACAAAACCAAACTAAACCTTGCGGCTCGTGGCGAAATATTGATGTGTAAAGACACGAAACGATCAGTCTGTGCAAGAAACTGAACAGTATTTATATAGTTTTTTTTACCTCTGATGCACTGCAATGTCTGCAATGTCTGAACTGTCCTGAGCGCGTCCTGAGCGCGTGCTCGACAGCCGGCGTGTGACACATCTTCTTCTTCTTCTTGTTTTATGGCAGATCGCAGACTTATAAGTGCATTACCACCACCTATCTCTCAAATGGACCCTTGACACTCCTAATTGAGATTGTAGATAGAGTGTCAATGGTCCATTTGAGAGATAGGTGGCGGTAATGCACTTATAAGTCTAAGATCTGCCATAAAGCAAGAAGAAGCGCTCAGGACATGTTCAGGACAGTTCAGACATTGCAGTGCATCAGAGGTAAAAAAAGATATAAATACTGTTCAGTTTCTTCCACAGACCGATCGTTTTGTGTCTTTACACATCAATATATCGCCACGAGCCGCAGGGTTTAATTTGGTTTTGTTTGTGTATGTTTTATTTTGACTCTCAAAGCCGTGATTCCCATTCACTTCCATTATAAGACTGACAGACTGCAACGGTTTGAGTTAAAAATCTTCGTTTGTGTTCTACTGAAGAAACAAAGTCACCTACATCTTGGATGCTCTGGGGGTAAGCAGATAAACATCAAATTTTCATTTTTGGGTGAACTATCCCTTTAACTAACATTATCAATAAGTTTGGGATAGAGGATAGAGGAATGTATAGGAACATGAGGCAAACTTACCAATACAAGTGCCATCGGCACCAAGTGTATATCCAAGGATGCAGGGAGTGGACCGGCTCACTATTGGGTAGCTTGGACCGGGGCCTGGACCAGGACCTGCTCCAACAGGGGGAACGTTAGGAATGAATGGTTCTGAATATCCCAATGATCTGTCAGGGTAGGACTCTTCAGGATAGGAAGGCTCAGGATAGGAACGTGGACTGTTCCGGGCATAGGATTGGGAGTAGAGTCCGCGGGGGATGCACAGGTATCCACCGTTCTGATTTACACACTGCATGTCACCCCGACACGGGTCTGGCAGTGTCCGGCACTCATCAATGTCTGAAAGCATATGTTAGAGGTGGCATAAACAGCTGTATTTGAAACACAAGTTTCAATGAACATTTTAATAACATGGCAGAAGTGCCACTAACCGATACACTGTCTGGCACGGCGGTCATAAGTAAATCCATCTGTACAAGTCTGGAGAGAAACAGGCATTTTATAGTCAATCCAATAGATAAACAGCAGTTTATGGAGTTCTTTAAGTAGTTATGTTGAAGTAGCTTGATATTGCTATCGTATGCTAAAGTTAATGTTTATGTTAAAGATGTACAACAGAACTGGAAAAGCAAAAAACAACAACAACAAAAAAACAAGCAAGGCACTCTTATTACGACACAAGTTGAGCAACAGTGCCTAGCTTGAATGACTCAAAACAAAATTCACTTACCTGACTTTTCCCGGAGTGAATGCAGCATATGATACATATTAAAATGGACAACATTCTATAAATAAAAAACAAAATACCTTGGTAAATCATTCTGAACATTAAAAACACGTGAAAATATTTAAGTTTCATTCATTGGAATAAGCACTGAATGTCCATTCAAAACCAAGAATATCAACAAACACTCTTATATAAATTTGATCATTTTTACAAACTTATTTTCATGGTTTACATTTTCTTTTGAAGCACCATGACAATGATCACATTTAATCCTTAAAAATATCTAATATCGGTTTTGATACTCTCTCTTATTGTCTAGTAAGTAATCCACTAGTGACTAACATCTGTTAAATATGTCACTAGTAGGGTCTTCTTGTTTTTTTTAGGTAAATAAAATACTTATTCCAATAGTTACTAGTATCAATTCAGTTACATATGCATCAGATACCAGCACTTCTTAATTTGGTACTAGTTACTATCCCAATAGTGACAAGTAACTATTCCATTGTTGCTGGTAACAAAATAGAAATGTCTTACCACAAAATTATTTTGGGATCTGTGGTTCAGCAGCTATTAACAGTTCACTTCTGACTAGTAGGTATTCCAATTGTTGCTAGTATCCTTTCCAGTTTCACTATACATTGGTATTAGTATTTGTTCTAAAGAAATTGAAGACAGCTATTTATTGGACATTAGTATGAATATGAATCATTCAGAATACTTAGTACATATGATATGACAAGCTATTAGATAAGCATATGACAAGCAAGAATAGGAATTGAATCAATGGCAGGTAGCAATGGAATAGTTACTTGTCACTACTGGAATGGTAGCTAACAGCAAATGAAGAAGTACTACTGACTAATTGAATAGATATAGTCACTACTGAAATAAGTACTAATATCTAATCAATAGTCAGTTGATTACTTAGTAGCTAGATACAAGTTAGTTGTAAGTAATGTATGCTAAAACAGCTTGTCATGAATCACCAGCTGACTAATTAAACTCACCTTTTGTTGGTCGACCAACTCAAGCCACGTAGTTCAAATAACATGTTTATGTGGATCCTTGTGGTTCCCTTGGAAAGAAAGTCACACCGCCGACCCGTAAACCCCTCGCAGTAGGAAACGAGTTGATCTTTGTGGTTTTACTACCTTTACAGGCTCGCAATACCCAAAGCGCAAAACGAAGTGCCCAAAGCGCCCCCTCCGCGTACGCGCGTTCACTTGAATGTCGAGACACTTGGCTTTGGTCACCCGATGCGGCCGCCCTGTCGACCGATGGCAGGAACGTGTGAGAACATTGACCAATAGTAAGAGGAGGGTCTTACTATATAAAAAAGAGAAAACTTGCTGTATTTCTCCGTACTCGGCCCACTGCACGGATTGTTTAGCAATGCAAATAAACGGGCCCCCAGAGCACTTGGCCAACAGCTGGATCCCATCAAAGACAGACAGCCCCCTTTGGAACGAAAGCGCGCACAGGGAGCTGCTACAGACCCAAACGAGGAGAAGGAAGAAGGCAGTGAGGAAAACCGAGCAAAGAATCTATAAAATGACGCATCATTAAATTGTAAGGCTCACCAGCCTGCTTAAATTTAGAGGAGACTACTGTACGTTATGGTGTGGAGTCCTCACGCCAGACAGACCGCTTCAACCATCATCACTATGAGATATTCGTTCAGGCTGTTAGCCAAAAATAAATAAAAAAGTTACTTTAAGGACATAAAATTCTGACTAGGTGTGTAAAAAGACAGACAGACAGAACATGTATTTACATAAAATAAACTCTAGTTAGTGTAGGCCTATATTGTATGTGACCATGACTGCTCTCCAGTGCGACAAGTATTAGCGGAATTTCGAAAGTTTGTTTCACTTTACATTTCCAAAAATGTACATATCACAAATAGCCTTTATTACAAAATAGTTTATTTCACAAAAAGTATAATAATTAAATTAAATGAACATGAAACTGTGTTAGTGACACGATACCAGAGCCAACGGCGCAGAGTGACACTATAAATGACAATTTGTGTCACAATTTTTGAAACCTTAATTTAGCTGTTTTTCTATTAACCTAAAAAATGGAACCTTAATAGATTTCTTGTCAAAAATTATCAAGGGCCTATATACATTTATTTATAAAAGTTTATTTCTGCCCACTGATTGGACATGATCACAGTAAGTGTCACCCTGGCCTGCATCTTATAAGCTATTGGCCAGTGTAAATATGCTGAAATAGCCTTGTACCCCTAACCTTTGAACTGTTGACACACTCGGCCCACACACTTGACTGGGAGGCTGCACATACACAGGCAGAATTTGTTTTTATTGTATCCTTTTATGTCAACTAGCTTTGCTTTTGTCTATTGATTAATTGAGTTTAAAATAGGTTTGGCAGCACAGCAGTCCAGATGTGGACTGAATTCAGCAGGGAAGACTGTGCTGGGAGACTGAGACAGTTTATCAGAGATTTTTTGGCACAGATTATGGAGTCAGTGGTCAAATCACTGGGTAGCACAGTGCCACACTCCCTCTCTGCTGCTCTCTTGAAATAACTCAACCATTCAGTGGCAGCTGTGTGAACTCAAGCACCAGGCTTACTACAGTATGGCAAAAGAGCACGTTTTTTGAGAGTTGCATCAGTTACGAGTACAGTGAGCCACTGAATGCATCAGTGACACATTACAGAACTTTTTTTTTTTTTTAATTGCTCAGACTCTTAAATACAAACATTTTCAGGTTCGAGGTGATCAAAGTCTGCCAGATTAACACACCCTCTAGGCAAAAGCCCATTTGGATTGAGATCTTGAGATATAAAAGAGGTTTAGACTTGATCTGACGCTGATAAAACAGACAGCAGAGTTATGATAGTTCAAATGTACACAATCTAACAGCAGGAAAAATGTCTGCAAGGAATGTGGGAGGCTGGAGCAGGTGTTCCCTGGCAGGGTTATTTTGTCTGGCTTTGTGAGTGCTGCGTGAGGAGAGTTCGCATTAAAATCTGACACCATGCTTACATTCACTATATCCAACACCCTTAAAGTGTTTCCACCATCTAATGCAATGCATTTGCTTCAAGGCAGCACAGATACTTGCTAGGATTCAAATGTGCCACTACAGCATTGAAATGTTTGTTTATATGAAGAATTAATAGTAATGCTTCTTGTGCTGAATTTAATGTATTGCTACATAATACACCTTGATAATAATGTCAAGTCATTACTTGCACTACTGTTCAAAAGTTTTGGGTCTATAATGTTTTTTTTTAGTCTCTTATGCTTACTGAGAATGATCTTATTTGATCCAAAATGCAGTAAAATAGTAATGTTGTGAAATGTTATTACAATTCAAAATAACATTTTAAAATGCAATTTATTCTACTACTTTCTGTTGATTTGGTGCTAGAATTAGCTTTCTTATCCATTATCAAAGTTAACAGTTGGCTGACTAATATTTTTGTGAAAACTCATACTTTTTTTCAGGATTCTTTGATTAACAAAGTGAAAGGGACAGCATTTATTAAATATGTATGTATGTATACACACACACACACACACACACAGTGTTGGGTGTAATGCATTACCGAGTAATTAATTACTGTAATTTAATTACTTTCTCCTACAATTAGTAGGGGATTACTCTTCATTTTTATGGAATTTATATAGACAACAGCTCAATTCTATATAAAAAAAACAATAGTTTACATCAAAATTTAACATCTAATGTTATGGTTTTTAATGTAACCTTCTCCCTTCAGTGTTGGGTGTAATGCATTACCGAGTAATTAATTACTGTAATTTAATTACTTTCTCCTACAATTAGTAGGGGATTACTCTTCATTTTTATGGAATTTATATAGACAACAGCTCAATTCTATATAAAAAAAAACAATAGTTTACATCAAAATTTAACATCTAATGTTATGGTTTTTAATGTAACCTTCTCCCTTCAAATATTTTGGTTAGTTCATGAATAATTTATGCAATTTTATTTATTTGAAAGAAATACATGTAATCCTTGTATTGTTCAACTGGTCGAGGATGTTTAGAAAGTAATTAGTAATGCAATAGTATTGCAAAAGTCTTTACTGTCACTTTTGATCAATAAAATCATCCTTGGCGAAAAAAAAAGTATTAATTTCTTTGAGAAAAAGAAAAAAAAATAATTATATATATATATATAAAAATAAAAATCATACTGACTCCAAATTTTTGAATGTAGTGTATGTATATCCACAACTGGACGTCAAAATATCAATAGAAACTGGTTAAATGTTCCAAGAATCTATGCACCAGATTAGACATGGTTCCACTACAATTGGAATTCCAGACAGGGTTTTCCCTAGGGACATATTGGGAAAGACGGACATTCCCTTTTGAGGTTAATCTGGTCTGATAATGCTCTAGACCACTGCCTCCATAAGCACTTTTAAATTACAGCCTTGCGATTATATAGCCTGCAGGGAAAAAAGAAAACACAGATGCAAAAGATCAACAAATGCACTGTTTCCTTATATAAGTCTTGTATATGGAAAAGTACTGCACAATTTAAGGATTAGTTTTACTTATTAATTACCAAACAGCAGGAGTTCCTTTTGTAGAGTTATCATTAAGAGACCTATTTCTAAATAAAAACACTATTACAAGTGAACTTTAACAACTTCATATTAAAAAAGCTCTTAAGTGGCTAAATAAAATAAAAGGGAAAATGCAAATATACATAGAATAGTTTATTCAGGAGAAAAGAGGAACACTGTTGTAGACTATCACTTTCATGAGCAGTCTTTCAAACTTCAAAAAGATTAATCAACTTTAAATAAACACCAGCGCAAAATATATACCCTAAAATATATAAATGTATCCTAAATCTATATATTTTAAGTGCACCCAACTTTTATGAAAGATATAGTAACCAAAAAGAGAATTACTAAGGCCATTTTCTCAAAAAACAAAAAACCAACAAAAAATTATTCTTCATATTAGGCCTCAAGGAAATGGCGTTTTTAAATATTTGGTTGGAACCTACCGAATTAGGAGTCCTGTGTTATAATAAACTAATGTTTATTATAACAGAGGTGTATTATTTGTTTATTAAACAATTGTAAAATATACAGGTAATTTTTACACTTAATTTGCACTTTAATTTTCCTGTATGTGTGCATGTTTTCCAAATTGTATATACATAATACAATAGTTTCTTTCTACCTTAAAAAGGTCTGAATATTGCAGATACATTTTAGCTTATGCCCACTGCATAAACAGTGAAAAATATGATTGATGTACAAATAAATAACTGCACGCTTGTACTGCATGGGAGCATGAGCAGCAGTCTAAATCCAAGATCAAATGTCACTTCTTGATTAAGTGCTATTGTACCTGCCGTACCATACGGCCAACCAGTCATAGCACTCAAAACGGGAGGATTCTGAAAGACTATCTGTAGCGTTTTTGCAGAAGTGGAAAAGGTTTAATAAATCCATTTGTGTAGTGGATGCCAGACAGCATCAGACAGTCTCTCAACACACTAGAAAAACATTAAACACCTCTCTTTGTCTAAAAATGACAAGCTGAATGTTTGCACGACATTAAATAAATGTTGGGAGAAGGTCACAAGAATATTCCATAATGTAATCTTCCCCAGCTTGCAAACAGAATTCAATTCTGTCAAACTTAGGCCTCAGTTTAGTCAAATTTAACAAGCACGGCAGCCCTTAGATGTTTTATCTTTCTTTTATTCCGTTGGCAATCAGCCATTTTAGTAAATATTTGAATCCATGACATGGCCCAGTTTTCTGTTTCCATCTGCCGGAACGTAGTGTCCTGTTAAGCTAAAGTGCTTTGAGTGGCAGTACAGGTGGCTGATATCACTGCTTGAGCAAATTTTTGAGCACAGCTCCACCGCTGGCCTCAGCCGACACAGGTACAGGTGTAAAGGTGGGCAGGGCGTCTGAGATGGGCTTCATAAGCAGGTGGCCCCCAGCACCTGCAGTGCTGCCTGCACCTGCGGGATTGAGGAGGGGTACTGCTGCAGACCGGGGTGCCAGGAAGGGGTTTGAATCCCCAGTGCGCTTACCTGGGCCTGAAACACCTGAAAGAACACAGATTACAGATACACAAAACCTGTTTGTATCAAGAAAGATAGTTATGATAATAGCTATATTGGTGTTCAGACCAACAAGGAATCGTAAACCGAAAAAAACTAAAATCAGATGGATCCTAATTGGTTGTCAATGTGTGTATTGTTTATCAGGAGGAAAACATTTGTTCTGAAAGTCATTCCAACGATATTGTTCCTCTGTGTTATTATCATTATAGCTGTGGTGTGGACTTCCACATTTTCAAAGAA